ATATTGAGGTTGCTTATAAACTAGCGTCTCTCATTCACATAAAATGAGTATACATTATTATTGTTATAAAATCCTAATGAGAGACATGTAGAACAAACTTAGACGACACAGAACAGGAAGATATATGGTGTGGAAGTACTGGGAATATGCAAAATCAAATTGAATAGGAGTTGACTCATATAATTGTCTGCGGGTGAGTCAGTGATCTCCTACGGTCACCCAGAAGACGACCACGAGCACACTGGGAGTGTGACTGTCATGATGCCACCAACGACAACGAAGTCACTGACTCAATGAGAGGCAACCTCGCCCAAGGTAATGACTGCCAGATTCAACTCCAGAGGAAAGAAAGTGACAATTATACTATGCTATGCACTCACAAGGACTCAACGAGTGCGCTTCCGATTAGTGAGCTATATTTTGCTTAGATATATAAAACTCTCATTTCTCTGTTTTTTTCTCACCACGAAGTTCTGGAAATCATTGCAATCCATTTACTTTCGAACACTAAACTTGTGAAAATAATATTGTTGACTGCTAATATCTATAACAAACTGTTTGACATTTTGTGACATTTTAACACTAACTCATATCAGTAATTGTATACATTGTTGGATTTATGTGTTCAAGTTAACCCAAGTCACTGAGCCTATGGTTTTGGTATAATTTTATTTAAGTGTGCTTAACTATATTGCATGTTGTTGTAATGTATTGTTGTTGTCGCTTGTTGCTCCTTTTGCTGTGAATTATTTTCCTTTTGTTGGTGTTGTTCTGATTGTTTTATACCTTGTTTTCCGATTTCTAGGGGAGCAACCCAAAAGGTCGCTTCTCTCTAAACTTTATCTTAATGTAACAATTCCTTCCTCAGGCGTGAAGTTAGCAACCCCACCCAGTAAACAAAGTTGCAACAGAAACTTCAGGACGATGAATCTCTTTGCGCCAAAAGAAAAAGTCTGTGTGGGGACATGGAACGTCCGAACTATGTACGAGACTGGAAAAGCTGCCCAGATCGCAAACAAGATGGAAAGATACGGAATCCAAGTGCTGGGAATATGTGAAAGCAGATGGAACTGGAATGGACTCAAAAAATTCTCAACGGGTGAGTCAGTGATTTACTCCGGTCATGAGGTCATCAACGGCAACAAAGGCCCTGATGCAATGAGAAGCGATCTCGTCCAGGATAATGACCGTCAGATTCAACTCCAAAGGAAGGAAAGTGTCGATCATACAATGTTATGCACCCACAAACAACGCATACCTCGAAAAGAAAGAAGAATTCTACAGACAACTACAGGCAACAATGGACAATACTCCAGCTGGCGACATGAAAATACTTACGGGAGACAAGAACGCCAAAATGGGACCAGACAATATAGGAAGGGAACTCATCATGGGTAGAGAAGCTCTCGGAGAAACAAACGAAAATGAAGAACTGTTCGCCGACGTTTGCGCCTTCAATGAACTAGTGATTGGCGACAACGTATACAAACACAAGGCTACATGGGTGTCACCAAATGGGTGAACCAAAAACCAAATTGACTTCATCTCAATGCTGCTCAAGGAAGCTGAGGCGCAGCTTACTAGACTCAAAAGTAAGAAGAGGAGCAGACGTTGGCTCAGACCACTATCTGGTACAGGGGACAATCCAAATCAAATTAGAAACTTTCAAGGAAACAGCAGGTGCAGATAGACCGCAAGCCAAGTTCAATACTCAAAAACTGAAGGACCAAAATACAAAGGACATCTTCATTGCAATCATAAGGAAAAAGAGGGAGGCACAAATCAATACTAACGAAGAGACCAGAGTTGAAAGGCACTGGAACAGCCTGAAAGTATTGTGGAGTCAAATCTGCATGGAGTTTCTGGGGAGAAAGAAGAGACAGGACAAACAGTGGTTCACTCCTGGCACTTGGAAACTAATAGAAGAGAGAAGGATGGCGAAGAGTGAAAGAGTGAAGAAGAGCACCAGGGAAGACAAAAGAAAATGTTATGAAGCCATGTCGAGTGAAGCAGAACAAGCTCCAGGCAGAGGAGGCCTCCCAACATTCTACCAAACGACTAGGTTCCTGTCGGGTAAAAGTTCAAAGCAAATTTAGTCAGTGAAGAATGACAAGGGAAAACCAAACACCAGAGAGGTATAGCAAATGAAAAACTGGGCTGAACAAGTCAAAAGACTTCTAAAGCGACCGCCACCTACAACGCGCCCAATAATATTAACAGCGGAGGCAGAACAACCTGTGGATACCAACCCTCCGACGAATGAGGAAGTCCTGAAGGCCAAAAAATGCAAAAAACTGGAATAACCGCAGGACCAAACAGAATCCCCGCAGAAGCATTAAAATTGGACCCGGAGACATCAGCGGACTCGATGAAACCACTACTGGAGAAGGTGTGGAAAGAGGACAAGCTGCATGTGGATCGGAAGAAAGTCTACTTATCCGAACTGCCAAAGAGAGGAGACTTAAGTCAAAGCAAGAATTGTCCATCCCAAGCAAAATACTAAGCCAAATCATCCTAGAGAGAAAGGAACACGTCCTGGATGGAAAACGTCGGCCGGGACAGACTGTATTCAGAAGAAACAAGTCATGCATCGATCAAATCGCAACACTACGTATCATTATTGAACAGAGCTTGGAATGTCAGTCAGCTCTCTATCTCACTCAACTTCATCGACTTCGAAAAGGCCTTCGACAGTGCAGCGTCGATCGAGAGGTGATTTGGAAACTACTTCGCTACTACGGGGTGCCAACACACAGTTATACACCTCATCCAACAGCTGTGCGATAATGCTGCATGACAAGTAATCCATAACGGGAAACTCACGGAATCCTACGAGGTGAAGACGGGAGTAAGACAATCTGGCTGACTACTATGTCCAATGATTTTCCTGATTGTGGTGGACTGGAGATAATGCTACAGAAACACAGTGGACAACAAGGAGGCAGGCGTAAAATGGACATACAAAAAAAAAAAGAATCTGGATTTCGCCGATGATATATGTCTGATTTCCGAAAACGTGAGAAGCAACAGGTTGGCAGAAGAAGAATCAGAGATAGGAGGGACTTCAGGTGAACATATAGAAAACAGACTTAGGTGATGAAGAGTTCCTGGCCAACAACACCAACAGCAACAACAACAACAACAACAGACAACAATTAGCATAAATGAAGCGAGAAATCTGAAAGAAGCAACCTCATCCACCTACCAACCTACCTGGGAGGCAGCGTTTCAACTACAGGCTGACGGAACTGATGATGATATCAAAGCGAGGATTGGGAAAGCAAGGCCAGCTTACATTACTCCCAAGTCTGTGTGGAGGTCAACAGCACTGTTCAGCATGAAAAATAATATCGGGATTTACAACTCGAATATGAAGTCAGTGCTACTTACTATACGGATCAGAGACTTGGCCGGCGCGTCACTAATGGTACTTCGAACAAACTACAAACCTTCATCGACAGGTGCCTTCTCTCAATACCCACCATGAGATGTCTCCATTGTGGATAGGATTTTTCGTTTGATATTTCGCTTGTTGTTGTATAGCAATATCGACTGCTGACGTTTCGAGCACAAACTATTGCTCATAATCATGTCATATATAGATGGATTTAATCACAATGTTTAAAATTTTAAATAACGTCTACGGACCTGACCTGTTCTTTATTTTCGTTGTCATTAAGTGGGAACACCTTATAGGACATAGCAGGAGAGTTCAAAAGCCAAAAAGAAATCATATTGCTGTTGAGTACCGGTTCTCACACCGAGTCATAATCTCCTGGAACGGACTCCAGTATGAAGTGATGTCTGCAGCCTCAGCTGATTCATTCAAGAAAAGTTTTTACAAGGACAAACATTTACTACAAAATGATCAATACAGGCTCCAAGCCCTCCATACTGAACCAATAAATCTGAAATCTGTGAACACATTACCATATTGAAAGCACCGCACTTTTCGACAATATGAGTTACTTTGAAGTCGACTTTCCCTGGGTTTGGTATTTTGTGCTTTGTAAGTCTGTGTTGTAGCGGTTATGTATTTTATGTTTCATTCTACAACATTGTATTATTTTAGACTAGGTTCATGCTTTTAACTTAATACTTTGAGAAAGCTATTAGCATTAAATAGCGAAACGTCAGTAAAAACAATCTCGTTTTGTTTTTTCATTCATTGGGAAATACAAAAAACCTCTATTATAATAGGTTTATGCTTGTTATGTGGGGTTCACAATATTGTTTATACCACATTTTGTTTGAAAACAGTATTAAGTGTGAGAGTAGTAACATGAAATAACTTTATACGCCTCGCGACAATATACTGTCTTGTCGGAACCAATAACCGACACTCCTCATATGTAATCGCTATGCGCTCAAAAGTTCTAAAGTTCCTAATTTCGTTGGGACCTATATTTGATAAGTTTTAACGATTTAGGGATCTCATCCCAGTTTTTGAATATGTTTTCTGTTCTTATTGTGACTGTACTTTGAATTTCAAACATTTCTCGGCTGAAATTTCAGTCATTCGTTATAGATCCCAGCTAGCCTTGACTTTGGGTGCATTGCAGAATGTTTGGGACAGCCCCGGAGATTCTGCACTGCACCCGAAAAAGAAACTAGACGGGTATATCAGTCAGTAAATAAATAGTTCGGATAGAAAGGTGGGGTATTGTGCAGTTATCGAATACTCTAAAGTCTAATTGTTTGTGCAGGAAACAGCAGTCGTGGTGTCTTGGGGTGAAGTGTTAACCAGCATTTATGCTTATATCCCATTAGTTGATTTTCTTATGCGCGGCCTACTTGTGGAACACCTAGCTTTGACCATCTAAGGAGCATTTAGTCTACTTACCGGTATTCCCTCGATAGGATGAAAACAAATTTGATATTATTTCAAAATGAGGTTAGATTGTTCCTTGTGTTCTATGAAATCAAACAATCAAGGTTACAATTTTCAAACAGTGAAAAAGTTTGCATGACTTATCGTATGTGGTGTTACGAAGGTGACTGAGTCTTAGAACGATGAGTGATGCTTGAATCTTGAAAATACGAATAAACCAAGAATTTAGGCTTTATTCATTTTACAATGGAGCCAGAATGGCTTAAACATATAAAGGGAAAAAAGTGTTAGTAGCGGTAGAGATATGAATATGATTAGATACGTATTATAAGAAAAGTTCACAACATGTGTAGCTAGTTTTTATGTCATCTGTTTGATCAAAGTTATCAGATATTTCGTAATTAATATAAAGTACTTGGGAAACATGAGGTCGGGGTACATTTTATTTAGAAAATTTAGTGTTAAGGTCAGATAATTATCGAAAAAATTATGATAAACAGTTACCAAAATTTCTGCTAAAAGAATTCTAACTACCATCCGTCGAAGTTATGTACGTGCAGGATAAATTATTGTGGTATAAAAGTATTTGTAGTTTTATATAGTTTTTAAAAGCTGGTAGCGCATCGAACAGCCGATATTACTTTAGAATTAGGACAAGCTGGTGTTATTTCTGCTAGAAATGTCTGTCAAACCTAAAGATATCCTACCGAAATCCAGTTTGTTTCTAGATGTTAATTACGTAAGATGTCCAATGAAAACTGCTGCTGCTGCCAGGGTTCCCTTCTACATATAATCAGTCGAGGTATTTCCATGGCTTTATCAATTCCTCCTCAAGCGGCCATTATCCTATATCTATGGGTTGACTTTACAATATTTTATGGTTATAATTACACACTGGAGTTACACATCGATAAAACTCATAAAACACCTAATAACATTTACTCAAGTGATTGACTAGACTGTTAAGTTCCCAACTTAGATTTTCGCGCAAAAGTGCGGCAGTACGAGCTACCGCAAATTAAAAAAGCTATAACATAATATATAATAGCGTGTTGAAGAAAGAAGTATATAGAGAGACATAAAGACCAAATGGGTCTGGCAGATTACAAAGATTAAAAGTCTCTGAGTCATTCACAACGATTTTAAGTCATATCACCAATAGTTTCACATCATTGAATCTTAGCATATCGAGGATAAGAACTAAGCGGTTAATAACCCTTCTTTTTGGGTGGCTCAAACCGGTAGTTAAAGACCTAGTGGGTTTGATTTAACTCCCCAAACTCTTTCTAGACTTATTTTTATGTCACCTAACATTACTAGGCTAGGTAGGTGATGGCTTGAAATGCCTAATGTGTCCTGGTCATATCGACTCATACATTTTCATAGCCTAGTCTACCGACTTTTCTTCCTTATTTAACACTACTAAATTCAGTATTGTTAACCATGTTATTAACACTTAAGACGGGAGATAGAACTCACACACCTATGGTCGACAACACTTAACCAGCCTCTTCTCTTCATATCCTTGTATCCATTTTCAATGGCCGTGTCTCACAGGCACAAACAAGGAGAGAACGAAATTCTAGTCAGTACACACGTGCTTTCTTCGATAGCCGGATATCACGGATATCTAGGCGAGAGAGGATGTAGGTTGGCGAAGGCCAGAGGAGCCTTTTCTATGAGTGGTGAGATTTCGTCAGAAATCAGTCCATCAGGTAGTTGAGTTCGTTTTAATTAAACGTCAATGTTTTTTTTATTATACAGGAAATACTACTATAGTTTTTCACTGGATTTTGTGTCAGGTAAAATATTCAAACATCAAACTGTATTACTAGTATCACCAACGGATATCTGCTATGGTACTATAAATCCATACCAAGGTTTATTGTGTTCTTTTAATATACATTAAAGCTAAAAATGATTTTATTTTATTGTTCAGTCGCATGTCTCATTATTTTCAGTTTTTACATTTCAGGAAGAACATATATTTCATAAACGAAGATTTATTTATCTGTCACTGCTCTTGATCCTCTTATATACACACTACTTGAAGAAAACACCGAACTTTATTGAGAACGGGATAACCTCGTTTGAAAAAAACATTCAAAAGTAGGTTGCATAAATCAAAAAAGTATACTTTTCAAGGACTTTGCGAAACTCGATGTCCTTATAGTCGCATAGTCTTTATATCAACTAGTCAGGGAATTTTTATATACGAATGTTTGACTTCGTATACGTTGAATGGTTTCAGTAAAACAATGGGGTGCGAGAAGCAGTCTGAACTGGAACTCTTAGCAAAACTGGAGGAACAAAATCGGTAATGTTCATATTATATGTTATATTTCTTACGAATAGAGCCCTGTTTTCGGACGCTAAGATTGTCCCCTCACTACAGACACATCGACGTCGTGAAGGCTCCTTATCAAGCAGCATTTCTACTGGATCAGGACAAGACGATACACGAAGTAAGGTGTTATTTACTAAAAGTCTATTTGTCCTTGTGTTGAGTTTTGCAATAAAATGTCACATATTATTGTGTGCTACAATTACTTTAAGATCCCGTTTCATGCCATAAACTCCAACTTCTTTAGGGTGGTATTATTATTAATATTATTGTTATTCGTTCCTTGCCTTCCGAGTGGAACATACGGCTTCAGCGGCACGTCAATCTCACCCAATTCTTTGCCATTACTTTCAGCCGGCTCCACAGGTCCTGTTTTCCCCCTCATATAGTCTTCACTATGTCACCTTCAGAAGCATACCCATTTCGTCACCTCTTATTCTGATTCCACTTGATGGCCTGCCTAGTGTGCAATGTCACTTGAATGTCTCGGCGTATTCCACTTCCATCCCCATTTCCTTCTGCTAATTTTTGATTTGGAAATAGCCTGTCGTCTGGTTTTCTGCCAGAATTATTTATTGCTTATCCTTTCTAGCCGGTCAGCCATCTGATCTTCAGTATCCAGACAATGAAAGGGTCAGCTGCTGACGAAAAGTTGTAGGAGGATGTTAGAAGTACTGCTTGTAACGCTTGCGCTGCCTTGATATGGCTTAATGTAGGCTAAAGTATGTAATTTTCATGTGTTGCCACGATTTTTTACTTCATTTAACTAGGCTCTGGAACACCTTCATTTCAAAACAACGGTCATACAAACTATTCATCATTGTCATCATCATCTAAGTTGAATAGTGCTTCTGGAGTTTCACTTCCTTTAATGATTGGATGGACTGCAGGTGCACCAGTCAGTAGTTCTATTCGAGAACAATGGGACTATGTAGTGAATAATTGGGAACAATGTTCTAAGAAAAAATCCTATGTTTCTGTAAGTTTGCAGAGATTTTTTGAAACTGAACTGTTAATCGCTTTATTTAATAGCCTATCCTTTTCATTGATTTTTGAACAGTTGTCTAGCCTTCATAGTTGTTGTTTGAACTCAGTTCCTCAAAACAAATCTTTCATATTCCAGGTTATGAGACACACCTATTTTGGGAAGGCTGCTCATACTACCCAATTAGTTGCCTGGGCTGAACTAGGTGAAGCGGAACTCGACTACAATGTCAACTGGGTGAAATTTTAGTATTTAAGCCTATGCGCCACGTCTTTACATTCGAAATATGGTTGTTAATTAGGCGTTGTGTTTTTTATGTTTATCTACCTGTCTTCATGTGTCATTTCTTGAAAGTAAAATGAATTAACAGCTCTTGTATGTCAAAGGCTTGGAAACCTTGACCGTCTGACTTTTTGATAATTTTTTTTGAGGTGACGGTTGAAATCTTAGACTACAAATTGACGATTTCATATTCATACTGGTGAGTGTATGAGATATTGTCAGGTGGTCGTCGAAATTCTTCCTGTAATATAATTACTTTCGATTGTCCTGGTAAGCCTTAAGTTCAAAGAAACATAAGGCAACTAAAGCAAGCAACTTTAGGTAAATAGCATAGAATTGTTATTATTATGGTATGGCTTAAAAGTTGTAGTGGTGCCACCTACAATGCGCCCAATAATATACCTGTGAATACCAACCTTCCGACGAATGAGGAAGTCCTGAAGGCCAAAAAATGCAAAAAACTGGAATAACCGCAGGACCAAACAGAATCCCCGCAGAAGCATTAAAATTGGACCCGGAGACATCAGCGGACTCGATGAAACCACTACTGGAGAAGGTGTGGAAAGAGGACAAGCTGCATGTGGATCGGAAGAAAGTCTACTTATCCGAACTGCCAAAGAGAGGAGACTTAAGTCAAAGCAAGAATTGTCCATCCCAAGCAAAATACTAAGCCGAATCATCCTAGAGAGAAAGGAACACGTCCTGGATGGAAAACGTCGGCCGGGACAGACTGTATTCAGAAGAAACAAGTCATGCATCGATCAAATCGCAACACTACGTATCATTATTGAACAGAGCTTGGAATGTCAGTCAGCTCTCTATCTCACTCAACTTCATCGACTTCGAAAAGGCCTTCGACAGTGCAGCGTCGATCGAGAGGTGATTTGGAAACTACTTCGCTACTACGGGGTGCCAACACACAGTTATACACCTCATCCAACAGCTGTGCGATAATGCTGCATGACAAGTAATCCATAACGGGAAACTCACGGAATCCTACGAGGTGAAGACGGGAGTAAGACAATCTGGCTGACTACTATGTCCAATGATTTTCCTGATTGTGGTGGACTGGAGATAATGCTACAGAAACACAGTGGACAACAAGGAGGCAGGCGTAAAATGGACATACAAAAAAAAAAAGAATCTGGATTTCGCCGATGATATATGTCTGATTTCCGAAAACGTGAGAAGCAACAGGTTGGCAGAAGAAGAATCAGAGATAGGAGGGACTTCAGGTGAACATATAGAAAACAGACTTAGGTGATGAAGAGTTCCTGGCCAACAACACCAACAGCAACAACAACAACAACAACAGACAACAATTAGCATAAATGAAGCGAGAAATCTGAAAGAAGCAACCTCATCCACCTACCAACCTACCTGGGAGGCAGCGTTTCAACTACAGGCTGACGGAACTGATGATGATATCAAAGCGAGGATTGGGAAAGCAAGGCCAGCTTACATTACTCCCAAGTCTGTGTGGAGGTCAACAGCACTGTTCAGCATGAAAAATAATATCGGGATTTACAACTCGAATATGAAGTCAGTGCTACTTACTATACGGATCAGAGACTTGGCCGGCGCGTCACTAATGGTCTCTTCTTCTTTTCTTTTTCCTTCACGTTCCCCAGTGGAATATAGGGCTTCAAGCTGGGGGCTTGAGGTTTCTCTAGCGGTTTTTATTTTACAGGATGGGTTTGCTAGCCTCATGCCCAACCGTTCCTATTTACCAGTCTCGTTAGTGGTTTAGCGAGGTAAAGGAGTTCGTCGGCCGGAGATCAAACCCCGGACCATGTACATGGTCGGCGAGCGTCCTAACCGCTATGCCACCGAGGTCACTGATGGTACTTCGAACAAACTACAGACCTTCATCAACAGCTGTCTTCGCTCAATACTCATGATCAGATGGGTTAAGATGATCAGGAACAGGGTGGGGTCTCTGTGGGTGAACCAACGAGGAACCAATTAATGTTCTCTTAGCTGGTTGGTTTAGTTGTGGAGTTCAAAGAACACTATCAATGGCAAATCATCCACCTGGGATACAAATCTTCTCTATTATTTCAACCAGGAACCACTTGTTCAACAAATATGCAGGAAGAAATCGAGGTGGATTGGATTGTGGCCATATTCTGAGAAAACCATCAAGTGACATCACACTCCAGGCTGTCGGTCGAGTGGAACCCGAACGGGAAGGGGGTAGTTGGTTGTCAGTGCAAGGGTGACATGGAGGAGGTCATGTGATGAGGAGATGAGAGCAAGTGGGCAGACGTGGAGCCAGGTGAGAACGTTGGCGAAGAACCGAACGCAATTGGGATTTTGGGACGGAAGCTGTATTTTCCTCTAGGAACTAGGGATAAGTGTAATGTAATAATATTAATGGGCTTGCGGAATCAACATCAATTCTTTGACAGGAAAGTGCAACGTATCTACCACACGACTATTTTGTTATGTAAAGCAATAGCGTTTCAAGTTCAACATTTTTATTCGATGTCAGTATCTATAGCTTTAAGCATAAACAGTAAATATAAGTCAGTCATGGTGATTTATTTGCTGTATGGCAGCAACTGTGTCAATGGTGAAGTTAGTCATAAGTATGCTAGCGATAGTGATAATAATACACAATCGAGGGATGAAAACTAAAAGTGGTAAGAAGGGCCTTTTTCAATGTGAATGAACCAGATAAATTTATTAAGGTCTTCCTTGATTACGATACGACTCGACATATAGCGCTGTATCGTTTCACATTTAATTGACTTTGAATCCAAAGACGAAATCATCAGAAGGCATTCCACTGAATCTTTCTACTACCCGCCTGTTACATATCTCTGACGCCATAGGCATCTTTACTGACAGTCCTGACATGTGCACTCATCAGTCTGAACAGCCATTATTTCTGTCACTAGCCAAAGGACAGATTCTCACCTTGAGGAACATTCTTCTTAGTGTTGTCTTATCATCTCTTTTGTCCTAATTTATGAAACAACCTGTTCCTGACAAGTGAGTTCTATCCCAACTGCTAAAATTTAACTTGTACCTGTTTATCGAAATTCGTTCTCCTCCTAAATACTATCCAACTCTGGTGGTTTTTAGAACTAGCTTATACTGTATCTGTTTGGACACTACAAATTAGAAACACACTACGATGGCAAGTTGATAAGGTTGGTTACCCTACATTGCGAATTCGCATGATGGTCCATTCAGTCAACTTCAAACCTAAAGACTAGGCTCATGTTATTAGTTAATGCCTAGTGACCAGTCGATGTAACCTCTATAATTCTATTAAAGGTCAATCATTGGCGGCTCAGTGAATGAATACTTGCCAGCCACGTTGGAACTGGATTCGATTCCTGACCGGCGCACTCCTAGACCTCGCCTAGATTACTAGGTGGTAGTAAGCACGAAAAAGAGTTCAGATTAGGGTTGAAATCAGCAACTCAACCTCTTCAAAACAACACCACCACTACTAGGACTTCAAAGAAAAATTGAAGCTTCATGTTTCACTCGAAACGCAAGAAATAAGAATTCTGTAGGTCAATTGTAGGCCCAAATACGTCACCGGTAACTCCTTTTTTGACTATAGCGATGGGAAATACGGGTTCGCACATCGGTTAGGATGCTCGCCGACCATGCACATGGTCCGGCGTTTGATCTCCGGCCGACGAACTCCTTTACCTCGCTAAGCCAGAAATAATGCTGGTAAAGAGGAAAGGTTGGGCATGAGGCTAGCAACCCCATCCTGTAAAATTAAACACTGCTGCAGAAACTTCAAGCCACTAGCTTGAGGCCCTATGTTCCACTGGGAACGTGAAGGAAATGAATAAAAGGAAACATCAGTCCCATTGAGATTGTCCTACTGACTACCTAGTACCAGCAGGTGTGCGAAAGCTGTTTGCAGGATTTCCTGCTGGTTGCTTTTAACCGTCTAACAATTACAAATTGTTTCTGTTGGATGCATGAATGAAGTTATTTACTTCTTAATTAAGCTGAGTAAAACATTACAGGCTCTGTAGAAAACGAACTATTCTGCTTTGCTATTTTTAATCATTTATGTCTCATACATAAGAAATATGTTGACATCGTTTGACGCTTACTATGTTATTGATTAGGTATCCATTCATAAATGACAGTTGCTTAATAGTGAAATATGGTACTTATTTTTCTTGGACACAAGCACAACTGTTCTGTTTCACTTGAGCGGAGACTGCTTATAGTAGCCAGATAAAAACAACCCAAGTCGACATTTTTTTTCCTGTCCTGTAATGCTTAGTAAATTGCTTACTAGCATGAGAAATTAATGTCAAATACAGGAGATATTTATATTGATTGTTCATGGTGGGGATTAGCCAGTGTCATGTGTCTACAGAGCCCTTAGTCAAATTTACAATATGGTGTCATTAAACTAGGCTACTGGTCATCTTTAAAACTTCTGTCATATTACCCCACTGGAGGACCAAACACAGGGTTTTCAAGTTACAAGGGACGGTATCTGACGGCTCATAAATTCTAGCGTCCGTCAGTTTGCGATATACATAGCGCTACCGCCATCCAATGACGTCAGCTGGTGTTTCTCCTCACACCCGTCTTGGTGTACCTCTCCAGTCATGACCTCTTAATGGAACTGTGGACGACTTCATCCAGTAATTTCAATTCATGCGCCATTGGATTCTGTCCAGGCAAGTTAGTAGTCAAACTCGTAACATAAAGGTCGTAGGTACGTACTGATGAGGAGTTGCAAAGAAGGAAGGCGAAAGAACTGTCCACTACTACCTGATTCTTGGTATTTCTCTAACCGATGTCATTTCATAATGTATTTTGAAGCCAATTAAATCCCTGAAAACCAACGCTTGAAAGTATCCGATAGATTTATTTTTAAAATGTTCACGTACACAGTTAAGTGTTCTCACCTATTTCATTTTCCTTTCTTTTTCTCTTAGGATCTCATTAAAAAGGGTGTTCCAGATGAGTTTCGTCCGTTGATTTGGCAACTGTACACTGGCGCTTATGATTCAGCTGTTAAAAAACACTATCATAATTATTTGTTAGTTGATTCACCTGTTGAGAAGGCTATTCGTCGAGATATTGCACGAACATTTCCTAAACATGATTTATTTAAAGATGAGGTGAGTTAATTTTTTCTAATTACCCCCTCCGTAGCTGTAGTTGAGTATATTATATTTTAAATATTCATTCCTTGTTGGTCTAAATGGTAGCTTAGTAGAAATGGCGGGCGCTAGGTTTGAGTCTCAGTGTGAAAATTTTCACTCACTTAATATATAGGTGCATCCGGCCAATGAGTCTCAAATGGGATGAAACTTGTATTCTAGATTCCTCTGTCAGCCACCATCAATCAAATGACATATTGTTAACCCACACTTATGATCGAAGCGTATGTGCTAGGAGCCGATCTGTCAAGAGAGACCGAGCGGTTCAGTCCAAAAAAAGTCAACCAGCGGGAAACTAAAATTAACCCAAAACAAATTACAAATTCACACAGGAGATAACTCTCGTGGACCAGTGGCATAGCGGATAATGCTTTGGCATTTGGAAAGATGGGCGCTAGGTTCCAGTCTAAATGTGGACGTCACCACTCATTGGGGGGTATGCAGGTGTATCCATATGATAAGCCTCAAATAGGAAGAAACGCACTTCCTGGATTCCATAGTTGGCTGACATTAATCCAACAGTATGATGACCAGCGATTTTTAAAGAATACTGAATGGTCGTGTATGTAGGCAGTAAATTGCACATTGACCTCAAAACTTGAAGGTCTTGGGTCGGGATTCCTAAAAAAAGTGCAGTAATCGTGGTTGTATACCACTGAAGAGTCCGAAAACTAAGACAAAGCAACTGTTCATTGCTGGATGAGTGTGTTGCTTTTTATGAAAAAATCCACATCAAAATCACTCATCTCTACAATGCTACACTTTGTATAAGAGAAATTGTGATCAGTTAGTTATTATTGGTTTGAGAAGCTTACTCACTAACAGTCAGACGAGTGGAAGCGTTATCAATTTTGAAATTCTAAACGTTTTTTTTTTCATTAGTCGTCGCTTGATCATTTTCTTTTAAAAAAGAAGGTATATAGACAGTAGCGCTCGGTTGATATGGCTTCGAATCACTGAGATCAGGGGATATCACTTCTTCAAGGGTGATAGATACACTGCTGACTGACAAGTGCCAATATGTGTACGAAACTTAAATCCAAAGCTTCCTGCAGGTTTTTTTTTCAGTCATTATCTCTCAGCCTTAGATTTAGGTTTTCACCAATATCTATCACTGCATATATTTGCTTTCAAGTACACTCTTTCACTGTTTTAGAAGTTGATGCTTTTATTTACCTATTCATTCCATCCATTCTATTATTCCCCTTCTTGATCCTCTTTTGTAATTCTTAACCTTGAAACTTGTATTTCTATTGTATTGTTGTTAATGTGTTCTTTATTTCTTGTAAAAAAAAAACGAACTTTATTATAGTACACTGTTACATTGAAACTGTATTGTTTTGACCTGAATTTCAAAGAATGCGCTTGATCAAATTTTAGTGATGTGATGTGTATCCTTCTCAATGTGTTGATGTGTGTACTTACCTTCCATCGATCGGCTTAAACTGCCTTCTCTTTCTCTATATTAACTTTGACTTCGTTTTGTCCAGCTGTATATGTACATGTGTTTGTGTGTACGCGTGTGTTTGTTTTGTCCACGTCAATTGTTTTCTGAGATATTTCTTTTCCCACATTCTAAGAAGTATAAAAATGGAGATGAAGTTGACTACGTAGCTAGTTACATTGTGATAATTAGTAGTAGTGGTAGTGGTAGCGCTGTTCACACTGGTCTATCCCCCTCTCCTGTTTGCAATTATGCAATAGTGAAATTTTTTTTAGGAATTCTTCGGTTTCCCTTCCAAAACAGTTTCCGTCATAGGTTGATAGAAATTAACCGTAAAACAGTGACAAAAAGGCACCATTGAAAAACAAAATAGCTCACTGGTTCATTAAATGATGCCCATCTGTAGTTATATTTCGTGATTTCCCCATCACGATACATATAAAATATCTCAGTGCGATTGATCATCCTCAGGCTTCACCGAACAACCCAACTTATAGCTTTTACTTTGACACGTGGTGGTCGGGTTTGCATGTCTCAGTGACTCCAGACGTGGTACACTGTCTGCGGCGAGTGCTCTTTCAGGTTCTACCATCCTAGAAACTTCGTTTAGATAGCCATTACACTAAAAACAATCCCTTTCATGGTGTAAGTCTGTTTCTTTGTGTTGGGTATCTGATATCGAAGTTGGGTTGTATCAACAGTAGAATGTTTTCTACGAACGATCATCAATCCATCTATACTGCTTCTATGTGGTGCAAAGAGTTAGAAATTATATTTCGTTTAGGCCTTAATGAATTTCCGAAGTGAGATGCAGAGCTGTGGCTTTTTGATCTAGGTACTGGAGCTTCAACCATTGACTAGTTTGAAAATTACTTTGAAAAGAGTAGGTAATACGTTAAATCTCTTAAAGATAAATGAATGGAGTTGAACTGCGATTCTTGGGAATTCAGACGATGAGCGTGATTTGTGTTTGAGCATATTAGCCTTATTCCAATATCTATCTGACTACAAATGCCTGCCTATGGGTAGGTGTGTGTGTGTGTGTGTGATAAGCTTATTATATGTTGTAGGGTGTTTTGTTCTGTTTGTCAGTGCACTTTCTCAGCGTGTTTGATGCCTCCAGGACTGTTACAATCAAACCCAACAGATCTGATTAACATTGAGGTCAGTTGGCTCGGGAAGTGATTCACTACATGCCTCTCATCACGGCCACACGGACTAATTTCCCCTCCTTGCCTGACACTTCACCTAATACAGGAGACAGATAGTCAACGGCATCCTTACTGTGGAGTTGAGGATGTTTGAATGGCGTCTCGATTAAATGCTTTGAGAAGTGATCACACTTTATTTAGACTTTTCTTTAGAAAATCATTGGGAAGAATAAATATGAGTCTGAGTTTGTACATACAATAACAGAGAAGTATATGCACACCACATACATACACGAATATGTATTTGAATTTGTAGTCGTACAGATTCTTTCATTTGCATAATTGTATATATCATTCATATTCTTTGACGCACACAGACATGACAGAGTGAGATGACTTGTCTGTGTTGTCTAAATTAGTTGTGTGTGTGTGTGTGTGTGTGATAGGCAGTTCGATAAGCTCAACTTGAAACCAGCGATTTGGTTGTCACCCTCAAATGGTCACCACCGCTTTCTGCCTGACGGACACTATTGGTTTTCTAACTTCTAACATATATCAGCAGACATGGTTAAGAAAAATTCCACATAAATTGCACAGCGAAACGATATTATGTGGTCTGTGTAATAAACAAAACAATATGGAAATTATACACAACCCCTGTGCCTAAGTTTTGCACATATATATATATATATATATATATATATATATATATATATCATATTGTCCCATTGGCGAGTAATCAAATGTCATGTGTTTTTGGTCCTTTGTGTCGATGCCAACTTCAATTCCAAGCAGTCAAGTTTTCAATATGGAGTCAACAAGTTAGTTGACTCGCCATCGCAGTGGACTTTGAAATGATATTAGATGGTGGGTGATAACCGACAAAAAGCCTTGGACCCAGATTTTGTGCTTTTATTAGTGCGCATCATTTACAACAAGTTTGCATATCTGCAATCCTGACGAAATCGATACTCATTCAGATATTCGAATCTGCATTATCGTGTGCTACAGTCACAAATGTTGCCACTGAGCTATTCGGGTTGACGACTGACCTCACTGACCACTGGTATCGACATGTTGATTACTTACCAGGCAGTAACCGATATTGTGTCGACGTATACCAATAAGCTAAATACCTAGACCTACGGCTTCCTGTGGAATGCCTCTAAACGCTTAATATATATATATATATATATATATATATATATATATATATATATATATATATATAAATTTATTGAATTAGAGTCGCAAAAAGATGTTTGTTTTATTATGCATTTTGGTATACCAGTTATGATTTGCAGCCTAGTGTGAATGTTTTGATATAACCTTATGTAGTTTAAAGTTAAGAATTTAACTGTTATATTCATTAACACTGAGAATAACTACTGCAGTGTAAAGATTTCTTTTGTAAAAGTGTTTGAAATAATATATATGTCTGAATGATTAGTCAGGAATAATATGTCGCGCACCACGAATATAGGAAGAAATGAATTGTCTGAACTGCATCTCATGGTGTAGTGGCTAGCACTCTGGATTCTGAACCAAACGGTCCGAGTTCCAGTCTCGGTGAGACATAGAGCTGATCATTCGTGTCAGTGATTCAGTGGTAGAATGCTCGTCAGCCAACCTTGGCCTAGCTGGCAGCGAACGTGGTAAAGCGGAACGTCTGGGCCTGGGGCTAGCAACCTCACATCTTATAAAATAATCAACATTGCTACTGAAATTTCAGAAGCTTGAATTATTATTACTTAAACACAAGAAATTTGATACCATATGACACCAACAAGATGCGCCACATAATAATAATAAGACAATGTGGATGAAAAGTAAAGATATAGGTGGAGAACAGATAAAGAACTTCTTGTGGAAGGAAAGCAGTCATATTTAACAAGTTTAAACAGCATCCGTCAATTATGTCGGGAAGGGAAGAAAGAAGTAAATTGCAGCATGTTCGCTACTGATTACGATTCTTGGCCATATTCGATAACGTTTCGAGTCACCTGTTCGAGCTGTCTCTCGGACTCCAATCAAACAGTCATTGAGCACCATCTGATGTTAACCCAGCACAAATATCCTTAATCCAACACCAATCCGTGATGGACTGACTACCCTTCCGCTTTTTCCATCCCTTCCCACAGCTGGCTAGCAAACAGACACCTCTATGGAAGTCTCTGGGATAACATTCGAGGCACATATCCACCGAAGCCAGTGTTTCCAGATGATGACACTCAACGAATGGTGATGTCCACTGTATCACAACACACGCCACCGGACCTCAGAACTACTCACACGATGATGCCATCGGACGCAAGCAATCCTGCGACGATCGGGTACACAGAGTCGCTGCACATCTTCACTTTGGAGAGGCCAGGTTTCACAGGCGTAGAGAAAGACAGCAAGCACTGAATCATTGTCAGAAGTTTAGAGTCCTATGATCTACTTGTGACAAAAGAAGCGGAAAAAAATCACTAAATAAAGTTTCAGAATTCAAGCAGACTGTCATAAAATAGGTTTACCAGCTAATCTAATATACGTGCTATATTCTCAATTTTTGAATTCCTTACATATGTTTAGCATCTTACCACTAGGAGTCGATTTTTACAATTACTTTTAATTCGTATAATCTTTTATGTTCTGTTTTTAGTATCTTTTGAGTTTTTTTATGGAGCTAGTCAGTTTGTGACGATGCGTATGTTCTGGGAGATTCGTTCTAGTCGTTTCATTTATTTGTCGGCATTGTTATTCATGGATGAGTATTGAGCAGTAACCATTTACATATTTCATGCAACCGACAATAAACAATACGTATCATGATACTGCCACTTGGCTACACAAAATTATGTAGGTGACGCGACTTTGCAAGCTATGACCACCCTGTGGTCGAAAGTTGAACAACTAACCCGATAAGTCACAGCTCGAAATATTCACGCAGGAAGTTACAGTTGAGTTGCATTCATTAGATCACCAAGTGATACGTTTCACATGGGCTGTATTTGTTGATATTGTTCCATTAGTTCCTATAAGAACATAGGGCTTCAGCCCCATTGCGTTCAGTTCTTCGCCAACGTTCTCACCTGGCTCCACGTCTGCCCACTTGCTCTCATCTCCTCATCACATGACCTCCTCCATGTCACCCTCGAACTGACGACCAACTACCCCCTTCCCGTTCGGGTTCCACTCGACCGACAGCCTGGAGTGTGATGTCACTTGATGGTTTTCTCAGAATATGGCCACAATCCAATCCACCTCGATTTCTTCCTGCATATTTGTTGAACAAGTGGTTCCTGGTTGAAATAATAGAGAAGATTTGTATCCCAGGTGGATGATTTGCCATTGATAGTGTTCTTTGAACTCCACAACTAAATCGACCAGCTAAGAGAACACCATTAATTGGTTCCTCGTTGGTTCACCCACAGACACCCCACCCTGTTCCTGATCATCTTCACTCATCTGATCATGAGTATTGAGCGAAGACAGCTGTTGATGAAGGTCTGTAGTTTGTTCGAAGTACCATCAGTGACGCGCCGGCCAAGTCTCTGATCCGTATAGTAAGTAGCACTGACTTCATATTCGAGTTGTAAATCCCGATATTATTTTTCATGCTGAACAGTGCTGTTGACCTCCACACAGACTTGGGAGTAATGTAAGCTGGCCTTGCTTTCCCAATCCTCGCTTTGATATCATCATCAGTTCCGTCAGCCTGTAGTTGAAACGCTGCCTCCCAGGTAGGTTGGTAGGTGGATGAGGTTGCTTCTTTCAGATTTCTCGCTTCATTTATGCTAATTGTTGTCTGTTGTTGTTGTTGTTGTTGCTGTTGGTGTTGTTGGCCAGGAACTCTTCATCACCTAAGTCTGTTTTCTATATGTTCACCTGAAGTCCCTCCTATCTCTGATTCTTCTTCTGCCAACCTGTTGCTTCTCACGTTTTCGGAAATCAGACATATATCATCGGCGAAATCCAGATTCTTTTTTTTTGTGTATGTCCATTTTACGCCTGCCTCCTTGTTGTCCACTGTGTTTCTGTAGCATTATCTCCAGTCCACCACAATCAGGAAAATCATTGGACATAGTAGTCAACCAGATTGTCTTACTCCCGTCTTCACCTCGTAGGATTCCGTGAGTTTCCCGTTATGGATTACTTGTCATGCAGCATTATCGCACAGCTGTTGGATGAGGTGTATAACTGTGTGTTGGCACCCCGTAGTAGCGAAGTAGTTTCCAAATCACCTCTCGATCGACGCTGCACTGTCGAAGGCCTTTTCGAAGTCGATGAAGTTGAGTGAGATAGATAGCTGACTGACATTCCCAGCTCTGTTCAATAATGATACGTAGTGTTGTGATTTGCTCGATATCGTATATGTTACCATTTATTTATCTCGAGGTACACACTTTTCAATTCTAGAGACGCATGGTTATTGATTACTTGACTAGGTTAATGATACATTGTTGGCTTTGACAATGTATGCTACAGGTTATAAACGCAGAATTTTTTTATGGATGTCTCCCATAGTTTTATATACTAGTCTGTGAACCATTTTTGTTGCGTATACTCTTGGCTAATTATAATACGGAGAGTTAAAAACCTGAATCGATCTCATGGCTTCATACCGTTGGACACCTTAACAGAAAATGTTCCAGAGTTGTGTAGCGCTTAGCTTAATGAACGTATTACACAGCCAGTTGGTTAAACGCTGAATAGATATTTAGGGTCTTCAGCTGGAATCCTGCTCCACCTGCTCCAGCGTTTGGGCAGTTGCGTAATGTCATCAACACATACACATACACGCAAACAGTTACATGAGAAATCTATTTATAGTAGCTGCTTCCTAAATAACTAAATAACAGTCTGCTCTAATTTTTCCTATTGTAAATAGTTGCGATGATTTTTAAGTTATTCTCTCGGTATGTTTTAGAATGGTTGTGGTCAAGAAAGTTTATTCCGTGTAATAAAAGCCTATTCAATACATGATCCAGAAGTGGGCTATTGTCAGGGATCAGCATTTATTGTCGGTTTGTTGTTGATGCAGGTAAGTACACTATTACTATTATTATTATTATTATTAATAACATTGTTTATTATTCTCATTATTACTGTTCATCGTCTTGAGCATACGTTTTCAGCAAGTGGGATCCCGTTTTGATAATCACTGTCCACCTACTTTAGCCTTGGAAACTGGTCAGGCAGTATTATCAACACATCCACGACAAGCGTGACTTATTAGCATGACACAACAGTATTGCTACTGTTGTTATAATTATTGTTGGTAAAAGTGTGATGCGAGCTGGGACTTGGTAACAAAACTTCATATAGGAAAACTTCATAATTTTACATCTCTAGCTATACTGAAGTTTGGTTAGGTAAGAGGAGAACAAATTGTGCTGATATTTGTTGGCAATCGGCTCAAGGTTGATCAAGTTTTCCAGTGAGGTTATTTCATGTCCACAGCTTAAATTGAATCCAGATATGACAAGTAAACACTTCTACTTCTGCAGCCAGCCATTGACTTAAAATGTCGGTTTCAATTTTAGCCGCTTCCTATCTATCTGCACTATGCTACAATAGTCGTATTAAATCAGGCAACAGAAAGGAGTGTTGTTTAACTGTCAGCAAATGATTTAGCTTTCTTAAAGTTGTATATGTTTCCGATAGTCCTCAGCTTTTCAGAGATCCTTCTTTACGTGATGTTAACTGATGGAGAAATCCACATTAAAATTAATGAGCATACCTACAAACCGCCTAAAATCTGCATATATCATCACTCTCTCCTGCTTATTAGAGATTATAAGATGAATCTCCTGAAATTTTGATGAGATGTCGTGACTACTGGTAAACTGTACCATTTCAGAGTAAGGCAGATGCTCATCGGTGGCACTTGTTGGCTGTAGAGCTATATTACAGATTATCAAAAGTTTAAATGCCCTAACGACCTGACTTCGTATACTCTGAAGCTTCTGGGCTTCGCTGCCTGGTAGGGTCGTAGATGCACATTGTTGAAATTTTGCAGACTAGGAGCAAGCAGCTGTCGAATGCTACTTGGTCTTGGATGATTCTCTTACCTGTGTTGATTAGTAATGAGATCTACATTGCAATTCATCAAAATCCCCCTATGAATCCAAAAATCGGTATATATATATATATATATATATATGTATAATTCCTTTTTATACTTTAGATGCCTGAACTCAGTTCATTCGCTGTACTCGTTCAATTAATGAATGATTATCGTTTACGTGAAATGTATAAACCATCAATGATGGAATTGGGTGTTTGTATGTATCAGTTAGAACAGTTGATTGCTGATAACCTACCAGATTTGTATACACATTTTCGTACACAATCATTTGCACCGAGTTTATATGCATCCGCTTGGTTTTTAACTCTGTTTTCGACAATTCTGCCTATACCATTTGCAACACGAGTTATGGACTTTTATATCGTTGAGGTAAGTGTATCGTTATTATTATTATTATTCTTTTTATATGTGATCACTGTTTTGTTAAAATATTCACTTTGGAATTAGATAAATTGGAACTTCTTCCCCCTTCTACTCCTCTAATCGGATTCTTCTCACTTATCATGCTTTACGACTCCTGAAAGCAAAACGATAAAGTTGGATGATGATTAGGAAAGTTTCGTGTACTTATGAGAAGTGTATGCAGACAGTTATTACTTCCTGGCTACCCACGCAGTGGAAGCTGAAATACCTTAAGACAGAAGGAGCATTTTTGTTACAGAACCCGAGTGACAACTGTTTGAGGCTGGTCACACACACGCACAGTCTGTTCGAAGTCGCTTTTAGAGTTGAATCTGTATGAAGTTATTAATACCGGCTACTGACTGTCACAAAGTAAGTTGGGATATACAATTTTCGGGATCGACCTTTCTTAACTTCCCCTCCGCTTTCGGAGTGGAGAGTCAGCACAAATGGCTAGCTGGTTGTCCGACGGAAATAACTTCTGTTATATCCCTATCCTCCTGAAGTACCACTTCAAGGTCCCCCCCATACCGTCACCACAGTGTGTTAGTGATTTACACTAAGTGATAGTAACTGCATTTAGTCTAACCTCTATCCAAATAACCCTTCTGGCATAGTGGGAACCTACAGAAACGTTCGCTGTGGCCAGTTTAGCGTGTTGAGCCATCGCAATATACAGGTGTCAAGGTAGCAACTGTCATTCGAACTACATAACTTAGCGACTATTTGTACACATCCATTTACTTCTAGACGAATGTGAAGCACATTTAAACACTTAAGTCAAAATATTTAGATAAACATCAGGTGAAATAAAGTATATGCGTTTCGTCCTAATTTAGTACTCTTCAGTAAAATTTAACACCTGGATTCCATGTGAGTTTGTGATGGTGTTCCCTTGGAGGACTGTAACCAATCACCTACTCATCGCTTCATGAACCAAAGAGTGTTCCTGTTGAGTAATATAGAGAAATATTAAGGAGCACATATACCAAAATTGAGTTGATCACTCCCGGTTCATATATACTTCAACAGGAAATCGAAAATATCAATAAACATATAGAGAGGCAGTTTGAAAATCTAATCCCTCAATAAACTAGTGAGTCACACTATCAGATTTTATCATTATATCCTGAAACATGCGTCGGTGGTATAGCGGTTAGGACGCTCGCCGACCATGTACATGGTCCGGGATTCGATCTCCGGCCACCGACGCACTCCTTTACCTCGCTAAGCCAGAAATAATGCTGGTGAAGAGGAAAGGTTGGGCATGAGGCTAGCAACCCCATCCTGTAAAAATAATCACCACTGCTACAGAAACTCCAAGCTACTAGCTTGAAGCCGTATGTTCCACCGGGGAACGTTAAGGAAAACAACAACAACAACAACAAAACAAACAAACATCCTGAAATACATGATGCACCAACAGATTACTCCATAATCTATCGGTTTTACATTTTGTAGCCTTCTCAGTAAGATTGTTTGCCACTCTGGCAACTGTCATCAGTTTTCAGTATTCACTGACTTGTATATTATTTGTTACATTTCAGTGTGTGTTGCTGTATTTCTGATTCGAAAACAAATGGTAACTGTGATGAGTCATGTGCTGAACTGTTCTCTTCGACCTCTCCATGTTTCTTAACTGATTATTTTATCTCATAGATTTTATGAAAAATGGAATGTGATTTAAAACGCTTTCTGCTAAGTAAATTTCGAAAGTGTTTCAAATAAAATAAAATTTCCATTGCCTAATGAGATTAGATTGAAGCCTCATGTCCCACTAGGAACCTAAGGGAATAACAATAATACAATAATAATGAGGTTAGACCTAGTGTTGGTAACGTAAAAAAGGAAAGCCAACGGATGATATTGTGAAGCTACATCGATTGAGATGGCTAAAACGCTTACTAACTATACCGAACCATCGTCTTCCTTGGAGAACCATCATAGATGAAGTAGAATTAGATTGGAAAGATTTACAGTCGATCACATCGAAGGATGGTATCAATCCAAGAAGTGTCTGACTGTTTGATTGAGCCAAGCAGGTTGTGGGGGGGAGGGATAGAATTCTTGGTTGGGATTCTCGAGACACTAAAAATCCCGTGATTTGAGACTAATGGAGATATAGCTTATATCGTCGTGAATGGTGCATATGTATTCACTTTCCCATATTCACCAGATTGCGTGAAGTAGATCTGAACCCGAGTTAAACATGACCAGTTGGGCTTCGGAGAGTGACATGAAGGAAATCATGTGAGGAGGAGATGAAAGCTTATGGGTGATCATGGTGTTAGCTGACAAGGACTTCATAAAATAGGCTGCAATGCGGATATACTGTTGCAGTCCTTTGTTCTACTCGAAACTTGAAGAAATAATAGTAACATACTAGTATATTAATTAATTCCTCACTATTCTCTGTATTATTATTCAGTCTGACGTACATTTCCGTTCGTAGTGATGTCTTGGCAATTTTCTTCTCTTAATTTTGTGTGTTTATGAAATATGCCAACTTGAATTCGTGCACTGCTGTTCAAAGTTAAATGTTAAAAATTCAGCCAGTCAGTCAAAATTTTTCAGAGAAATGCCAGTCATATTTAGGTATGAAAAATATCATAAAATATCGAAGTTTATTTGATTTACAATGTGTGCTTGAATGTTTCACTGGTCTCTCTCTATGTTACTATCGTTTTACAACTAGAGTGCGTGTAAGTCTTATCTCTTACTGGACAGTTGTGATTTTGTGTGTGTGTGTGTGTGTGTGATAGAGAGAGAGAGAGAGGGAAAAATCGGGAGATAGACACTGAAGTTAATAATGCGTCACTGTTCTCATCATGTCAGCATCCGAAAATTGGATGGTTTTGCTATTTTTTTTAAAACGAAATTCATATTTTTCGCAGTTGGATTGTTTTTGTTACCTCAAATGAATGATTCATTCTTTTGTGCCCTAGAGACTTTATTATTGTATTTTCAAATGGTTTGTTTCAGCAGTCTCAAATGTCTGTTTTATCCGTATCTAGCGTGAAATAGAACATCCTAGTAGTTTCGCAGAGAAACACATGAATAAATTGAGGGGAAAGCCTGAAATGATTACAGCACTCCGAAAACCGTTGTCTAATAAGCTTTCATGCAATGGGTATTTTGTCAAATAAAATTTCATTCCACTGATTGGCCGGATATGTATAGAAGACATTTTACACTGTAGACGGGTATTTGTCATTTTCTAATTGGAGAACAATTACGACTTAAACAGAGGATAAACTAGATAGGCTTGTCACATCTATATTTTTTGTTTAGTGTTAACTGAAGCTCGAATTCAATGGGCATTAGATCCCAATGAGTGTGTGGTCTCGTCTGGTAACCTAAACGTTTTGGGTTCGATCCCCGTTGAAGTCATGGGTATGTACTGATGACGAGTCCCAGACTGGGACGAAGAGACTGTCTAGTATCCTCTGGTTTCTCCTTACTCATATCTATCCACGATAAAACTTGAAACATCTATGTGTATTCATCAATCCATTTGTTAGCGTTATGTTGGGATTACTACTAGACAGCTTAAATAACATGCCACAGAACATCTCATCGTGGTGTTTGGTAAAGGAAGGAAGCTTGGAAGCATTTGTCCTAGGCATTTAGCCAATAGTTGGTATTCAGTAGGCAAAACAAAAGCCTTCAAGGTGACTCGCCGAATCTTTCCAACGGTCTATATATTCGTCTAATAAATATGGTGGAGGCGATTGGCATTCAAACTATTAAGCCTAAATTATGCATTCTGTAGAAGTTCTGTAGAAATTCATGGTTGGGATTCTCGAAACACAAAACACTCATAGTTGGAAACTGTCTGCATTATATCTGCGATTGTTGTGAATGACACCATTTGTAAACTCCCAAATTCACATTATTCTCCGTGTATTTATACTCGTCCTAGCACATTTCCGTTCAGTGTACTTTTTGTGTTTTCTCTTTGTGGATTTATGGGTTTATGACGCCTGTCAGCTTAAAGTAATGCGATTCGGTGTAAATTTTCTACACTGAAACTCAATCAGTCCGTCACCAGGAAACGCTGAAATGATTCTGTACATAGAACTAAGTCCATAATCAAATCACCTAAAACTAGGTAACCTCACCTTGAGCTGCAATCTACGAATGTTTGGCATGCGATTCGCTCCCACCAAATACAACATGATGTTACAGGACTGGACTACACCGACTGGTAGATTAGAAATAGGAAGTGAAGTGGTAGAGCACGTTGACCACTTCACTTATTTGGGAAGTACCATCAGCCAGTGCCAACGGGTTCATCTCTGACGAAATCTCAGCACGGATACAGAGGGCTCGTTTCGCATATTCCAGTTTACGTCGTCTCTGGCGTAGACGTGATATCCGGCCGACTATCGACCAAAGGGCGGGTGACTCTCGCCGACCATGCACATGGTCCGAGGTTCGATCCCCTGCCGACGCACACCTGATATCTATGGTCGGCCTGCAAAATTCGGGCTACCGATATCCATGCTGAAAATTACAAACTTGTACTAAAAATACAGTGTAGAATCAAGCTGTAATAAAAAAAGATCTTTCTGTTTTTGAGGTATTTCAAGCAAGAATCAATTTCCGCGGTGTGGTCAGTCGGGAATTAATAACCAGTCGTACATTTTCTCCACTCAATCAGGTCTTAATATCAATCCCTCTTTATTTGATATTTCCAGTTTCTGTATGGTACAAGCATTTTACATGAATTATTCTCCATGTGTAGTCACTTCCTGCTCCCCCATTGTCTCATAAAAATTACTTCACCTGAAGAGAAACTGTATTGTGTCGTTGTGCGTATGTTGATTCATTGAAAATGTAGTTTTGTTGTAAATTTCAAAGCGACACAAAAAGAAAACAAAATGAAACTAATTTTATGCTGATATGGTTTACCACTCACGCCTGCCAGTAATTTTAATAACGGATGTGTAACACACTATCCTATC